AACAAAATAATTTATTTTTTAATGAAATATGGACGACCTGTGTTTAAAATGTTAGTTTTGTGAGTACTACTTAGGCGTATTTTAGGAAATAAGGATTTAAATTGGTATGATGTTTTAAATAGTACAAAAGAAAAACATTAGCATGTTAGGTTGGCAATCCTACATAGAACAGATTGTTCCTTCCGTGCGGAATTTAGGACAACAAAATTATTTCTTAAAATGAAAAATGAACGACCTGTGCTTAAAATGTTAGTTTTGAAAGCACTTCTGATGCTGGTGTTAGGATATAGGTGTTTGAATTGGTATAATGTTTTAACTATTCAATCCCACTTAGACCAGATTGGTCCTTAGTTAGTCATTAGTTTGGAGAAAGTTTTTTTTTGTTCCGTTAGCATCTTGCTTTGTTTGCAAACACCAGACCCTGCTGGGGCTAAACCCCTTTTAGGGGAGCACTGTTCTGCCTCTTTCTAGCGTATATGCATTAAGATATTTCGCTCTATTTGTTAGAACTGGACTGTTACTGGACAGTGGCATTTTATAAATACACCCAATTCTTTTTTACACGGTTTTTTTCACGGTTTGAAAATTAAAAAATTAAATATATATTTATTTAGAGATATGGAACCAATCCACTATTTTTGCATATGATCAATGTCTTTTTTTACACGGTTGCTTCTGGAATGAATCTACGGTGCAAAAACAGAATTAGGTGTATAATTATTTAGTTTTTAATCATTCTTTGCTAGCTCGAAATGGTGGTAATAAGGCAATGGTTTTTATTTTAGTTTTCACAATATATTTGGGTCACCAATAACAAATTTTAGGCTTACATAATCGTGTGTTATCAGTGGATTCCCCCTACTCTACTCTATATCTACATTTGAAAAAACTTCCAACAGCACGTCAACTTAGGGAAAGCAGGGAGGTTCTTAGATCTCTCAACTACTCGAAGAGTGTTAAAATTAAATAAATCAAATGAAATTAAATCGAGCTTTGATTTACAATAATCATATAAGTATAATATATGCATGTGTGCAGATAAGTCATCGAAATTCGCATTGACTGTTGAAATGAAAGGCTCTGCAGCATTCCCGTGCAATTAATCGCATTTGCCATAAGATAAGAGAGACATTTACGGGTGGCATCGGGCACTTGTTTTCCGATTCCACATTAACATCTCAAATCTCTGCACATTCGCACAACTCATTTAACTGCAGTAAGTGTTGCCGGGTCTTATCGCTGCCATTGAACCAAACCACCCTTGAGCTGCTCAGTCTCTATCAATTATATGGGAGTACGAGAGTATCCAGGTCCAAGAAAAGCCATTACATTTGAGGGGCAATTCGTTTATTTATTTTTTTATTCTTGTCGTTTCGTTCCTGAAGGCAAGTCATGTGCTTTAACGAGTGAGAATGCGACGACAGAGGCTAGAGGCGGCAGAGAGATTCAGAACTGCACCCAAAACCCACACAAACAACACCCACTTCAATGCTTTATATATCTGTATGTATGTATAGTTGTGGGTTTGTACATATGTACATATACTACCTCCATATTGTGAGAGATAATGTCAAATTTATTGCATTATTTTTCGCTCCTTGCCTTTGGAGTTGGCTGGGGATATGCGTGCGCTGCCTGGCTGCTTCAATTTGGATTGCTGCTGCTGCTGCTGCTGCCGCTGCTCTTGTTGTTGCTCTTCTTGTTATTATTGTTGTTGCTGTTGCTGTTGTTGTTGTGCATAAATCAAAAGGTAAATGGCTGCATTTTTATGACTGCCATGACTGCCTTTTGCCGGTTGTTGCCGACGCCATTGCCTTCACCAACGCCGCCACCGCCACAGCCACTGTCGCTCGCTTTGCTTTTATCACACAAACATTCTGTGATAATAAATGCCATAAAAATGAAGAAATATGTGGTTAATTTTATGTGCTGCTTCCTTTTTATATTTTTCATATAAATGTTTTCGCGTTCCTCTTTTGCGACGCGTCGCGGCGGCGGCGACAGCGGCAGCGGCAGCGTTGTCGGCGCTTGAAAGCTACAAAGCTACAAACAGTACATTTTTTCGTACACTGCTCTCCCACTCTCTCGCCCTTCCTCTCTCTGACATTTTGTGTCGCTCTCCCACTTCCTTGCCTGCCGCCTTACACTTGCGTGTAATTTATAATATTTTTTCGTTATTTATATGCGGCCGCCCGCGCCAACGTTCATTTTGCGTTCGTTTTGCTAGTAAATAATTCACATACAAGAAAATTTATGACGCTGACAAAGTAGCAGTTCAAAAAATATATACATACATATATATGTATATACTTGCCATGCTGCGTACATAAAGTACATATATGTACATACAAACATCTGTATTTACTTTGGCATTTAACGCAAATGAGCGCGCAGCTCATGTTGCTCTTGTTGTTGTTGTTGTTGCCGATTCACACAAAAACCGCAAATTATGCCTAAGCTGCCTCATAAAGTAACACGCTCTATACCCAATAAATCAGTCATTTCTTTGAAGGCCAACTCTGCCAACTACCTGGCCTTTGTCATTAGTTGTTGTTTGTTAACCAATTTTTAAAATCCTAAACCTGTCTAATCACTCTAAGCTGTTAGGAATTAGTCGAGTTTTTGTGCTTATCCCCCATATTTATGGGTATTTTAATTTGCTTTCTTTGCCATTTTAGACCTAAATACATACGCACTGCATAGCCGGCTTGGTTACACCTAATCGCCCTAAAAGGGGGCTTATGTCGAAATCCCAGACTTAAGAGTTGTTAACAGTTGTCGGTTCTCAGCAGCAAAAGCTTTACTACGTGCAGTTTGGAATTAGCTGTTCGAGCTGGGTCTAAATAGAAGACTTAAGTCCTCAGTATTAGTATATTATATCTTAATTTAAATGAAGAAAATATGTACATAATCTTTAAAAGATTTAACTATACATGCATGTAACTAGAATTGCTCGAGACATTTAACTGTGTTCTAGAAAAACTCTGATTCAAAATTCGTCTAAAATTGCTCTTTTTATTTAATTAAATGAACAAAATTTTACTAATTTTTGAATTTACAATGAATAAATGCATAATACCTATTAAAATGTAAATTAATAATAATTACAAAAACAACAAAAGAGGCAGTGCAAAAGTTGTTAAGGCCTGTATTACAAACTACCTAAAAAAAACTTGATCTGCATATACTTGTAGAAGAAGAAAGACACATGCCTAGTCGGGTGGGTCGAGTTGTTATAGTTTTTGAAATCGAAAGGATCATACTGTCAAACAAATGGACGGACAATCGATGGAAATGTCTGAATTGACTCAGAAATGATTCAAAAACAGCGTACGATGGCTAGAGTTGCTATAAAATAAAAACCTATTCAACTATTAAAGTAGTTTTGTATCTCTGAGATACTCTGCATATGCCTACCACACATTTGTTTAAGAGTGCAATCGAAACACTTAATTTTAAGTAAAGTTTTATTACCGTCTACTTCTGAATATAAGTTGTTTTTTTTTTTGACTTTGCTCGAGAGCATTACGAAATATGTGTTTGCAATGCATTTGAGTGTTGAAAGTTTTATTGGAATAAAAAATTGCTATTCGTGCATTAACTCGTCAACAGCGGATATAATTAAGAATGCATTAAATTAACAAACCATTAAACTATTAAAAAAGGTCTAAAGTGCACTAAAAACGCGCCTCAAGTCGCTGGAAGAGGCCTACAGGGGGGAACGCGACAAGTGAACCATAGAAACACTCATGTGTGAGAGCTGGGGAGATTAATTAAGTTACACAGACACACACACACACACACACACACAAACAGTCGAATGAGTCCATACTAAATGAGAGAACACGAGCAAAAAAAAAAAAAGAAAAAAAGAATTGTTTGGTAAAACTTTGACATGACGACAAAACAACGATTTCCACTTAAACAACAATAAGCCAGTAGCTGAGGTTGGAGAGAGCGAACAGGAACATGCCGCAAGGGCCACAAACGAGGCCGCATGAACATGAACAACCCACGGAGAAGCGCAGAACAGAGCCGAACAGAAGTTAATCGAAAAACGCTAAACAAAGCAGCAAACAAATTAATTTTTATATGATATTAAAACGAGCGATCCGAGGCGACAAAAGCAACGACGGCAACAACAGCAACACCAACAAAAACGAATGTTAAAAAAAGAGTGTTGAGTGGTAATGGTGGTAATGTCTGGGTCGTAGGAAACAAATCTCGGTGACGGCGAAGACAATGCGTGGTAAAGAGCTGAGCTGGTGCTGACAGGAGCCACACATATACGGCAACACCGAGCAAGAGAAAAAAGGGCGAACGCATACAAGACAGCACAAGAGAGAGCGAGATAGAATGGGAGCGAGCGATGTATCAAATAAGGAGTGTGAGTTGTGGTAGCGCGTGACATATGTGTGAAGATAAAATTAATGTGCGCGACAAAGGAACTTCCGTTAAAGCGATGAGTGCAGCAGCAAGAGAGACTACTCTGAGAGCGAGTTTCCAGAATTTAAGCTCTCAGAGCACAGCGCTCAGCAATTCGAGTGGCGCTACCAGTTGCTCTGCACACGCAAAAGTGTTGCCGTGTGGCAGACCATCTACAAAAAAGGTACTGAGCATGTGAGAGGAAACCTGTAAGGCCACTTGACAAGTTATTTCAGCCATAGCGCATGCGATTTGATTGGACAAAAAATACGCCATATTTGAAAATTGCACGCATGCCGCACTGCTCGCTCGCAACATGCGGCACTGCTCTCACGCATGCAGGCGAACGCAATGCAGCGCTGCTAACCGGTTTTGAGCACCAAAGAGCGACAAGTGAGCAGCAGCTGTAAAGAGCCAGACATATTGCGAGAGAGTGAGAGAGAGAGAGAGTGGGAGAGCGTGAGTGCGAGAGCGTATGCGTACTCTCAATTTAATCTGTCAGTTGTTCGGTTGCTTCGCTGCTCCGCCAGCTATGCGTTGGCCAGCGACAGTTGAATTCAGTTCGAGTTTAGCCTTCGATGCGTTAAGACGTGTTCGGAAAAGAAAAAGCTGAACCAATATTACAATTTGAAGTGAGCTGTCAACTCTATGGTTTCCAAAGACCACAAAACACAACTCACAGAAAACGTTCGCTGTCAACAACAAACATCAAGTGCATCATAATTAAGTGCTAAATTACCTCAATAAATGCAAAAGTGAAACCCACACACACACACAAACCCAAGTGCCACTGACAAATTGTGGACCTTCAAAAAAAAAAAAAATTATCAAATATAAAATAAACCAAAAATGTGCTAAGGCTAATAAAACAACAGCAACAACAACAAGCACAATTTGCGTTGATCCACAAAATATTTACTCAACAGCCATTCAAATAAAGTACCAAGTGTGAAAATTTTTAAAACGCTCGTAAATCTTTGGGATTATATTGAATTAAAATACAGCATTGTCGTTGCCGTCGCACATTTGTGGATTACTCTTTGGCAACGGCACTAAACTAATAATAAAAACACTAAAAACAAATAAATAAAAGCGGAGCTCCTTAGTCCTACACAGTAAAGATACAAACGTATCTTCTGGATTAAGTTGTCGCGTTCCCTTGGATTAACCTACGTTAGTTGCAACAGCTGTTAAAATGGTTGTATTGGAAGGCGGCGGTGGTGTTGTTACCATCGGCAATAACCAGTACTTGCAACCCGACTATCTGGCGCCATTGCCAACAACGGTTAGTATTTAAAAACTAATAATAATAAATAAATAATGGAATAAAATATAGATACCAATTTTTTTTAAAGGCGAGCAATTGAATTAAAATTTTGATCGAGAATGTTATTACAAATACATTTCAAAAAAAAATAGGAGTGTTAAAAAATGTTTGAAGTTATTTCTCCGGAAAAATTAAATGAAAAATTGAGTACACCTATTATTTTCTAAAAATTTGCTTAAAATAAATATAAAAAATCACAACGAAAATTGTTGCCGAACTTAAAGGCTGTTCAAAAAATAAGCAAATGAATTAAAAATCAAATATTATTTAGTTATTTTTAATAGTATTTTAGGAATATTAGAAGACCTTCAAAACTCTATTGTTCAAAGTTTTTAAACATATGTATTTAAAAATGAAATTGCTATTCTATTATCGCACGTACAATATAGTAAGAATTTTTAAAGATCAAGAAAATTCCGACAATTATTTAAAACAATTATTGTTTTCACAAAGCAAGAAAAATGTTGTTATTTAAACAAATAAAGCCTGAAGGAATTTTCATAAACCAACCAAAACTAATCTCCCACACACAACTAGAATTTTTTGACTAAATCTCCATTTTCCTGTTCTCTCTCCCTCTCTATTGTTCGTAATACCACAGATGGATGCCAAGAAGAGTCCATTGGCACTTCTCGCCCAAACATGCTCACAGATCGGCGCCGACTCGTCGGCTGTCAAACCTTTGCTCGCGATGGATAAGAACAAAAAGTCCGGCACCTCCTCATCATCGTCCACGTCGTCGTCATCGTCGAGCAGCGCCGAAATCTCGGCGGCCAAATCGCCAACGCAAGCCAAATCGCCAAAATCGACGACCCCGATCAGTGCGAGCACCACAACGACCACCACTGAAGTGAAACTGGCCTTCAAGCCCTATGAGACGAATGTGCTGAGCCAACAGAATCACAACAGCTTCAAGTCCAGTGCTTCGTCCATCGATGAGCAGCGTCCCAGCTCGAAGAGCTCCTCCACACACGGTGGCGATACTCGCGTGCCGTCGCGCAACAAATCGAATGCCACGCCCACAGACGCCCACCAGCAGCAGCAACAGCAGCAGCAGCAGCAGATGAACCCCAAAAGGGACACAACGCCCACACCGCACGATATAAGTCGCAAGACAGTCTCCCCCGCCGGCTCCTCGCAGCGAGGCGCCAGTCCCATTGTCCGCTCGGGCATGGAGGTCCTGAATAATGCCAATGGCACCGCTCAGCATCCGAAGGAGATGAGCAGCATGGCGGCCGCCGCCGCTGCTGCTGCAGCTGCCTACAAGGCTGCCGGCCCCTACGCCCTCAATCCGCTATCGGCACTCTGCTGTCCGCCCGGCATGGAGCAGCACGCAAATCCCGCTTTTCGTCCACCGTTCGCCGGCGGCTTTTCGCATCATCATGCCGCCATGCTGGCCGCAGCCGGACCGGCAGGCGCTCAGCCCAATCCGTATATCAGTTATCAGCGCATTAAGACGCCCTCGGGCGGCGAGGCGATTGTGCCCGTCTGCAAGGATCCCTACTGTCCCGGCTGTCCCTATTCGGCGCACACACAACAAATGCTGATGGGCGCCCCCTGCCCAGCCGGCTGCACCCAGTGCGAGCATCAGAAATATGGCATGGCCATGATGGGCGCCGGTGCAGCAGCTGCGGCTGCAGGACTACCCCCAGGACATCCCTACTCACAGGCTGCGGCCGCCGCTGCCGCCAATGCTGCTGCCGCCCGTTCCGCGCCCTACGTCTGCAGTTGGGTCGTCGGCGACGCGTATTGCGGCAAGCGTTTCCAGACCTCCGACGAACTCTTCACACATCTGCGCACACACACCGGCAACCTATCGGATCCGGCCGCCGCTGCGGCAGCCCTGGCCCAATCCCAGGCGCAATCGCTGCTCGGCACACTGTTTCCGCCCTCGGCTCTGCGTGCCGGCTATCCAACACCACCGCTGAGTCCCATGTCCGCGGCTGCGGCTGCTGCCCGCTACCATCCGTATGCCAAGCCACCGGGTGCCATGGGCGGCGGTCCCTCACCATTTGGGGCTGCGGGTGCATTCAACCCGGCCGCCGCCGCAGCAGCTGCCGCCCTGGGACCCTACTACTCGCCTTATGCCATGTACGGACAACGCATTGGCTCCGCCGCCGTACATCAGTAAGCAAGCTGCTCTGCGGGGGGAGAGGGGCCCGAAACTGGAGGCTAGTGTTGGGTGTCGAAAGCGCATACCAAAGTGGTGAAGAAGGTGGGAACCGCCAAGATCGAGTTCAAGAGCAAATTGTCAAGCGAGAGCTCAAGATCATTAGGGAGACCTTCGGAGATTTTCGGAGAGTGCAGATTTTTAGGTCAAGAATCAAGCTGAAGACATAAAGTTTCGACGAAACTGCACTTCTTGAATATCTGTCAAGGTCTACGCACACGTTTCTTTCACAATCAAATACGTGTTACGTTTACAATTGAAGCGAGCCCGCGAAATTTGAATTTCTGGAGGGCAGGTAGGGAGAAGGGAGTAGGTTTGAGGAGAAAACGCTGAGAAAGAAAGAAAGAAAGAAAGAAAGAGAGCGCTGTGGTCAGCAGCGTCGCTGTTCTGTGATACTAAACTGTAGTTTTGTCGAGCGCTAGTTACGTCCTAAGTTTTTCCAAGCAACAAAACAACAACAACAAACATTTGCTGTCTCTGTCATAGCCAGGAATATCCGAAATAGAAATGCAAACAAATAAACTCTTAAAGATATAGGGAAACCGTAACCATTACCCAGTACCCAGTCGAAATGGCAATTGCTAATTCCATGAATAAATGATTTCAAGTCGTGGAGCGGCAAACGTTCGTTCGTTCGTTACACACTGATAGCGCTTATCAGCAAAATAATTATTGTAGAATCAACTAAGAACAACAACAACAACAAAGAAAGAACGATATCAAGAAACATTTATGCAAAAAAAAAAAAAAAAAAAAAACAAAAACAACTTGCAATAAAAATAGCTCTCAAGTTCAGTTCGTTTCGTAATTGTCGTGTCGTCAATCATATTACCCAAGCAGCGAAATACTTATTACAACAACAGCAACAACAACAAAAAATACATAAATAAATCAATGGAAACAAAAAGTAAATTAAACAACAAAAGAATAAATGCATATAAAGCAGCAGTTTAATTTTTAATTATTTGTAAGCAGTTTGTTCTCAAAGTTCAACCAAAGTTTAAGACTTAAAACAATTATAAAAGAAATATATTCAGATTTCAATTGAAATGACTTCCAAAACTGTCGCTAAAACAAATATATATGTATGTGTATGTATCTATAATTAAATATTCATGTATAAACATTATAAACAGTTTTCAGTTTTTGCTCATTTGACGTTTGCTAAATGTTTAAACATTGTTTTATTTTGATCATTGCTTAGACTTAGTTATCTACAATTAATTAATTACGATTATTATAATTATATGTATACATATATAGTATATAGTATGAGGTACGATATGCCTAATTCAATAATTTGTTAAGTCACTAATGTGTAAAACAACAACAACATCAACAACAGCAACAAAATACAAATAAAAACAAACAAAACTTTTCATATAAATTATATACTTTGTGTGTCTGTCTCTGTCTATGTGTGTGCGTAAATTCTATATTAATATACATATATAAATATACATATATACATAACTAGATCTGCTACTACACTCTGATTTATGCAAGATATTAACAGACACAAACAGATCAAGATCAAGAACAAGAACAACAACAACAATATAGCAAAAAGTGCGCAGTTAGTATTAATACTAAAAGCAAAATAATATGGAAAATATACATGAAACAATTTTCAAAAATCCAAAAAGACGCAATCTTTAACTCTTTTCAGCCTGGCTCGAATCCAACAACAAATAATTACTGCTGGCAGTAACAGCATAGTTGAATATTTTTCTCTTGATCTTTAAACCGGAAAATCATGGAGATTTTTTTTGGGACTAACTTGGATTGTTCGTAAATTTCTTCGGGAAAATCCAAGAAGTAAAAGGAATTATTTGTATTACGAAAAAGGTTATTAATTACAGGTAGTTGTGGTTTACTCATCTGGATTGCCTTTCGAGCAACCTCAACTTCTAAATGCAAATAGAAAGGAGCAGTTTCAATGTTTTCAAAACCAAATAGATCTGCTTTGGAGTCACATTCGATGCATATACCTTCAACTAAAGCTCTGGAAAACTGGCAAAACAGGGAAATGACACAAGTCCACTATTGCAAAGTTTCCTTCTTTAGTTTTAAATTGATATTTCCAGCATGTGTAAGAAAGTCCCGACAAATTTTTAAATGGAAATATTTTAGAGAAATTGAATAAAATCCATAATTTGTTAGTGGTAGCATATTTATATTTGCTTTCAATTTAAGCTCTGATATCTTTCAGGAATTAGTTGGATATAGTGCTAATATTTTAGAGAAATTGAATAAAATCCATAACTTGTTAGTGGAAGCAAAGCTATTTATATTTGCTTTCAATTTAAGTTCTATTATCTTTCAGGAATTAGTATGATATAGTGCTATGTAATTAATGCAAGTTGAGCATTAAATTCTAGCCTATTTGCCTTACATATAAGATCTAGGCCCTCGAGTATTATTGAGCTGCGTAATGAATCCGTATTGAACGTCAAATTCACGTGAACACGACTCTTGGGCACCGCCGTGGATACTAAAATAAATAAGTTTGCTATTCTTAGAAATCAGTTATATGTAAGATCTATAATAAATGGATTGCCTAAAAGTGGCTCAGCATATGGATCCACAGCTTTTGTGGCTTGAGAATGCTCGATAGATGAACAGGCCTGTCTTCATATAAATATATTCATCTTTTTATTATTTGTTTATAAAGAATCGTTTGCAATTTTGTAGAATTTTTACTAGCATCATTAATTAATACCTTCCAGGTCAAACTTTTTGAACCTACTGCTCAATAGTTGCCCATCTGACAATCCTTGTGAGTCTTAGACTCAATTCGAATCGAGAATGGAAAGACCTCACATACTATATAATATGTTTTCAGTGGATTCCGAGAGAAACTCTGCTGTGAGTCGGGACCGCACTTGGGGCATAGCTAGTATTTGAATTCCTCTGTTTTATTTATATATTTTTATGATACTCATAAAAGCCCGCATTTGTATATTATGGCTAGACTTTCTTTCGCTATCAGTTTTTAATCAATTTATTATTTTATTAACAAATGCAGTCAGGCAGAAATTAAAATCCTTCCCCAAAAAGAGTCAAACATTTTAACATTTTTGTTTACATTTTAACTGGAAATTAGTAACATGTAACAATAAATAATATAAATGGACAGAGGGCTGTCTGTCTACCCATTTCATGATTTATTCCATTGAAATGGGAATAACCCGCATAAATTGTGAATCGAATTCGCAAAATTGCATTTGAAATGCGTATACAAATAATTTGTATGCTGGAGTTTTATTTTCTAACCCTCTTCTTCCCTCATTACTCAAAAAAATTGACTTTCATGAGTCGCGGGGGCTGTGTGAGAGAGCCTAAATAATGTGGCCATAAAACAGCCAAACTGAAATTAAAAATCAATAAAAGTAACATCAGAAATCAATTGCCATTCAAGGGGCTACAACACCAATTATTATTCAGCAACAATGTGGCGACTTGAATGCTTGAATCAAAAATGAAATAAAACCAAATCATAAATTTACAAAAACGAAAAAAAAATTAAAACTCAAGCAACGACTCGATTGTGTGTGTCTCATAAATAAATTAATTGTGTCAATATTCAATTGATTTGATTTAAAATTATCGCATTCAGCTGTCAAAAGCGTGTGCGATTGTTCTCAATGACAAGAACAACAGCAACAACAACAACAACAATGACGACGTTTTTCAATTGTATATCAATTTTTTCTTCGTTATTATTATTATTTTTTCCGTTGCTGTCTGAATTGATTTTGATTTGTTTCGCGAACAAACATATGCCAGGGCGCCGTCTGTTTTTCCAAAAGGGGGCTACACTTTACTAACCACAGCTAGGCCCATGGGCATGCTTTTTTGGCCAAGTAACCCCCCCCCCCCCCCCCCCCCCCCCCCCCCCCCCTGGTTACGCCCTTGTACATATGTGCATGTGTATGAAGTATATAAGTGAGTGAGCCAGAATTGTGTAGATTTATCAAGGCACGGCCATCGACAGCAAATGAAGTGCTGAAAGCGATTGCTGCAGATTCGGATTCGGATACAGATACAGATACAGTTTTGTTGAATGTGATTCGTTTGTTTTTTTTTTCGCTTTTTTTCTAATGATTATTAATAATTTTTTGATTTTCTATTTCTGTTGAAAGACACTTCATTGTGCGCCTTGATTGCCGCTTTTTGTGTTTCTGGTTTCAAATTGAATTTATTTACATGCTTAATTTATTTCTTATGTGCATGTATGTATCTATGTATCGATGATGGTGTGTGGTGGTGTATCTGTCTTCTTGTTTGTTGTTGTTGTTGCGCATGTTAGGCAATTTGTTTCGTTGTCAACATTCGTCGGCGGCGCACACGACTATGAACAACAAAAGCAACAGCAACGACAACAATGAACATGGAAACTGTTTGTTATAAATAGTCACAAACACACACACTCACACTTACACACACATACACACACATGCACACATGTACAAGCTTTTGGTTTTTGGGCGCCGTCGTCTTTGACAGCAAACAACTCGCTCGCTCGCTCGCCCGCTCGCTTTTATCATCCAACTCGACCCGTTTTATCACTTTCCTGGCTGTCTCTCCGTCTGTCTGTCTGTCTGCCGACCACACTTCAGCCATGCCTTTCTCTTTTTGTCTCGTCAGCATTGCCATTCGATCGCGCAGCCGCCACTGAAGTTGTGCGTTTGGACTGCCTATTGCAACTGGCTCGTTGGTCTAGGGGTATGATTTCCGCTTAGGGTGCGGGAGGTCCCGGGTTCAAATCCCGGACGAGCCCAAGTTAAAACTCCTTTTTTTTCGTTTTTTAATTTAATGTTTTTTATTGACATTGTTTTTAAGGTTTATTTGTGAACACCTTTCAAATATTAAAATGTTATCTGAGTCGGCTGACTATAAAGGCGTTTTAATTTATAATATTTATAAAATAGCCTAAAAGAGCTCTTTTTAGTTAATCAATGAGTTTGCGTTTTTAATATTTAAATATTTCATTCAAATGTAAATATATGAACTCTATAGACTTTAAAAAAGGTTCTTAATTAATTAACAAGTTTGAGTTTTTTATATTTATTCATGCTTTGTAATATTTATATATAAATATTTATAATCAATTGAATATTTATGAAAATGTTATAATTTTAGTTTATATTTATTTTGTTGAAACACTTTTTCGAGTGTTGTATCTTTAAAATACTTTTTTTTGACTTATGAATGTCTTTTTCTATTTCAAATAACAGCCTATTTACCAACGTACCCAAACATTTAAATCAGGGTAGAGTCATTGACAAGTTTTTTCCAATTATTTAATTTTAAATATACTTATATTTGTTTGAATTAGTGGGTAAAGCTGATTTAAAGGCTTCAAATAATTATGTTATTTGTTGCTTAGATAGGCACTGTTCTAGCTGGTTTATTAACGAGAAGGTATTTTAAGTGATCTGGTTTTTATATGTTAATAATTCCACATGGTCTAGGTTCTATATCGCTCTCGGCACCAGCTGTAAAGTCATAATTTGCAGAATTTAAAATGCTTAAAGGTCGGATCCCTGCCATGGACAAGATTTGCAAGATCATCATGCAAAGAACTATGAACACTGGTAAGATTTTGCTACTGTATGCATTTAGAGACCCCGTTCTTGTATTATATAGAACGTTGCTTAATTACTTTTTAATGACCGTCTATTTACCTAACTCAGAGCTCATAGGGTTTAAAATAATAATATACAAGTAGAACTACACAAATTTCCCCCACATAAATAATGTACAAGTCCAATTGCAAATCTTAAATGTCAAGTTGTCGCCTGATACCAAATCAGACTGGCTGTCTTAATAACAGGAAATCACGGCGAAAATTATGAAGCACCGATGAGCCACAAATAACACTTTTATGCGATATGTGCAATCGGCGTAGCCGCGATTTATACGATCACACGTTCAACTGATCGACGATCAGCCAAGTTTGATTGCCCACGTAGTACAGTTTGGTGTTGGTCTTGTGTTTTGATCATAAATTCTGGCAAGTTTTACGCTTCACTTAATCTATACATCTACGAGTATATGCGACCGGGCCAATAAACGTTTCATAGCCATAAATATTTATACTTGTATGTATAGCTATATGACTTGTCAGTTCTTATGGGGCCATAAATATATAGCGGGCAAATGTTTGCCAACTCACTTTGCTAAGAACATGTTTTACAAAAACATAAAGTCTAGCCTAGATACTTGAAGGGACTTACAGATCGCATAATTATATTTAAATATGCTAAGAAAATTAAATATGTATAAGCAGGAAAGCTTTGGACAATACCGAAAAATGAAATCGAATGCCTATTTTTATAAAGTTTGCTTCAGATCATAACTGATAATAACTCCTCTCCTCCCTCCTCATCAACCAAAAGATGAAATCGATTACTTTGATTAAGCATTGAGATCACGTGAACGCGTAGTCACGTGAATATCGCTATTTAACGACAATACAAATAAAAATCACACGTTAGCTGCACTCGGTTGATAACACCAATAGCTTATAAATGGTCTTATGGCCACTATTAATAGCAATGATTCAAACGCCTTATACCTACATTATTAAAATGGATTTTTATATGAGCTATATAGATGTACGGCGTTTGATTAGATTCGCAATCGCAAATTGTACGATCTCATAAAGAAATTAAACTACAAAGCATTTATCGCTTTTTAAATAATAATGTTATAATAATAAATGAACCACAAATTTCCCAAAAAATGAAATTAGTAACAACGCCGAGCTATCTATCATGCCTCCATGGAAATACCAGTACTCTATAATGAAACATTCAAGTCAATCAGAAGTAGCCACTATATGTGACCTTCTGGGGGAAAAAAATAATATAAGTATTGAAATTCATGATCATCTTACAATTCTATTTAATAAAGAAAGTTCTGCTAATTAATGTAGCGTAGGAGGATTAATGGATTATTTAAGTATTTAACCTTTCATAAGTATTATTAACAGAACAAAATAGATGCACTTATTATTATACTAAAACCACTCAACCCTCATTATCTTCTTGATAATAAACCGCTTAAAACAATTCCTATCTGAGCTACAAATAATAAAATTAAATAGTTAAAGAGCGGTCATTAAAAAGCAATTAGGCAACGTTCTATATAATCCCAGAACGGGGTCTCTTAAGGCATACAGTAGCAAAATGTTACCAGTCTTCGTAGTTCTTTGCATGGTGGCTCTTGTCCACGGGAGGGATCCGACCTTTAAGCTCTGCACCCATGGCGTTACCAGCAAGTCCAAGTGCGACGCTCTTGTGAACACAGCTGTAATAAATTCCGTAAGCCTCAATCTGGCTTGTGTGGGTCTGGAGACTGTGACCGACTGCGTGGATAGCGTGAAGCGTGGTCGCAGCAATATTGTGGTGCTGAGCGGTTCAGAGTATAAGGGTGCTCGCGAAGAGGGCCTCGTGCCCGTGCTTTATGCCCGAGAACGCCCAAAAAATCGTTATATAGCCGTAGCTCCGGCAAATATCAGCCTATCCGAATTAAGTGAGGCTCAACTGTAAGTTATCCTCCTCTATTACAATTCTTAGGCCTGTTTACAAGCAAATACATTTCTAGTGATGTGGATACCAACGATGATTTGGCCCTACTCTCTGCCATCGCCTACAATAATGCACAGGGTCGGGAAATTTGCTCAGAATCGGTTTATACATCGGATGCTCCCGTCATACGCATTTTGAATTCTGCAAAATATGACTTTACAGCGGGTGCCGAGAGCGATATTTTGTTATGTCTAAATGGCGGATCGAAAAATGTCTCCCAATATCAAAGTTGCAACGTTGATGCGGATCTTCAACGTGCCGTCTTCACTTCAAAGAGACAGAATAGGCCCGCAACTGCTGGTCAGCTCAAAACTCTATTTACAAGCATCGTGCGTAACTTTAAGGGACGCTCTGCTCGTGGTTTCGATTTCTTTTCGACTTTCAAAAAAGTCGACGATGTGATCTTCAAGGTACGAATTACTTGGGGCCTTGTTTGTTTGAATGTTATGCCCAATATTTGATTGTTTTATGCTTTTCTAGAACTCTACGGTTGCCTTTGACCTCACACCGACCTACAATAATCGCATTGACGAGGATCAGTTCAATACGTTGCACTGCGATCGTCCGGAAGACCCAATCGATCCCCTTGATGTTGGTGATAATTTGAAGGAGGCACAAATCCGGATTGAACTTGAACAAAAAGGTTTAGTGGAGATTCCTCAATAATCCAATTGAGCAGCAATGTCCTTTGGAGTTAAATAGCGGCATAAATAAGTTTAATGATACTTATTAAGTAACTTTTATATGCCGTCCCAATTATAAATAAATTTAAACAAATTGCATTGAAAGAACTGTGGCTTTTATTTTATAAGTTGTGGAGCATTTCTGCAATATTTTGTTGGGGACTTCAACGAAATCTGCGGATTTATATGCAAAGATATAAATTACCAGAGAAATAATTTTTAAAGTATGCAATATAAACGGAAATAGGATTTTTAAGTTTATGCAAAAACAAGTACATATTAAATAAAATGAAAATAAAAGTAGTTGTGGTGTACTTAGAGAATGGTAACCTATCCAAAAATATAAGTACAATTCTTTTATTTGTCTAGGTTTTTTTTTGTTATTCTGTAATTATTCGGAAGACTTAAAGACTCTCAGACATACAGCCGGATTTGAGAATGATCTGCGTCGGACGAAGGCTGCGTTGGATTTGAAGTAGTACGGGTATTAGAAATTGCTAGAGCAGATGTGTAGATAAGTTAGCTAGAGGATACTACTGAGAAGCCATTCAGTTTCAGTTCTCGAGCAAAGTGGAACTCAATAGCTGCTGGCTTAATCAGAGTTGATGCAGAGCTTATACTTTGTATTAAAAGTTGTTATATCAATTAATTTTGACTACCATTTTAAGCTAATAATGCAAGATTTATTAGAAAAGTAAACATCTATCGGTAATAGAGCTTAGTAGAAAATAGAAACATGTTGACGAGTTGTCCATATTGGCCATATCTAGTATATAGTTGATGGCACATTAGCTGTTCTCGAAGATGGTTAAAAAAAAAGTCTCTGGAAAACTCCAACTAATACCGAGCTCTAGGAAAGAAAATACATGATTTTTTCACTGTTCGACTGTATGAATGCATTAATTGGAAAATATTTCTACTACAGCCACACAGCTTAGCAACTCATTTAGGAAAATAGAGTTGTTTTATTTATAATTCTTGGTAGAAGAAGCAGAAAAATGTCGTATTAAAATGTTAGGCCAACTGTTCTGGTGACTATTTAAAATGTTTGAATTTTTCAACCTGCAATGATTAATGTATTTTAAATCAGTAATTAGGTTACGTTAATGAGCAGCCATTAAGAAAACATTAGAGAAGGTTCTATAAAAGCCATAGAACTGGGCTTTTTGTAGTCACTCAGAAAATGATTCCGATTGTTCTCACACTTTTTTTGGCGGCTCTACAGCCTAATATTGCGGCTGCCAGTGGTTCGTTTAGGCTTTGCACCTATGGCACTACTAGTACGTCCAAATGTAAAGCCCTCTTGCGTGCAGCGAATAGCCAACCAGTTGAGCTGAACCTGGTCTGCGTCGGTCTTGAGAGTCGGGACGATTGTATGAACAGTGTAAGTATTGGCCGCAGCGATCTCGTCGTGCTCTCCCAGCATGACTATCAGATGGCACGTAGGATCGGCCTCAAGCCAATACTGTATGCCCGTGAGAGTAAAAGCAGCCACTATATTGCCGTAGCTCCAGCAAACATTACAGTAGCGGAGCTAAATGACGCCCAACTGTAAGAGATTTTGGAAATATATTCAAGTCCTCTCTGCTAATCTAGGATTCATATTTCCAGTCAATTGGATACGAGAGACCATGGTGCTTTCCATTCCGCTGTGGCTTTCAATAATGCCAGAGGCCGTAATGTCTGCCCGGACTCCTATTTCGTTTCAGACAAGCCCACCATACGTATTCTCAACTCAGCAAAATATGATTTCGCTGAGGCTAATAACGATATTCTCATTTGCCTAACTGGCGGATCTGCTGCGGTTACCAAAGACAATATCGAAACTTGTAATTTTGATACGGGTCTTCAACGTGCGATATTTTCTTCGAATACATTTAGCATTAGACGCCTGGACGAGGTGCGTGGCGTCTTTATTAAATTGTTGCAGTATTTCAAGGGAGATCGTGCTCGCACCTTCAATTTCTTCTCCACCTTCCACAGAGTTAATGATGTCATCTTTAAGGTAAGCATATGCTATGCTTTAAGCATTTATTCTGTACTACATATACATGGGTTATTATTTAAAGAATGACACGGTTGGCTTTGATCTGAGCCCCACCTTTTACAACGGTGTTGATGAGAGCCTCTTCAACAAGTTACATTGCGGACGTCCCGATCTGGAGCATAGTGAGGTGCAGTTGGGAGACGATTTGGTAGAAACAGGAATATTTGATCAAATTCGCAAATATGCGCCGTTCGTGCTTCCCTTTTTGGGTTAATTTGTAATGAGCGTCAAGTTCCTCCCATTTAGGAGATGAATAAATATATAAGTATCAATTGCACATAATATTCGTACTCTTTTTTGTCTGTCTGTCTGTACTGTTTTCTATAACTTATATCTTATACATATCTATGGAAGTATGTAGGCAGCTGTTTACAAAGGGGGGAACAATTTACACATTTATATATGAAAATTAAATAATTAATTTTTTGTGGTTTTGGGATAACTCGTCCACGATTAACCCTTCTAAATCCGGCTTTTTTTCGGGAACTATATTACATATATAATCCTTGAAAAAACATAAGGCTGTTATATTTGAATTATCTTACTATAATTACCATTTAAATGAGATTGTAGTCCGAAGAATGAAACATTTTAAATTTGATTTGGATGGAAAGTGTTTAAAAAAAAAAAGAAAAAAAGAAATCGATGATATTCAGAAATAAAGATAAACAATAATGGATCTATGATAATATAGACAAGCTGCTTTAAATGGTTGATTTGATTTAACGCCTTTTTTTTAAATATCGTTGAAAACTATTTCCAAAGATTCCAAAAATTGCGTATACATATGTTTGGCACTTTTGAAAATAACTTTACATTTCGTTTGCATTATCTTCTCTAGAGTTTTCATATTTCTAAGAAAATCATCTGAAAGAAGGTGTATCGACTATGTTGAAAGTTTTGGGGCTTATCTGCTTATAAAATGTTTATTTTTGGAATACAATTTTTGTTTTTAATAACAAGGCAATGGAATGGTACTTTCCATCTATAACAATTAAACGTACACTTAACCTTTTATGCTCGAAACAATTCCACATGGCCATAAATTTCAAAACAGCTGCTGACGACGACTGATGTGAACGTCAACGTCATTGCTGTAATTGTTGTTGTTGTCGTCGCAGCTAATTAACAGTTTTGCTGTAAATTACGGCAAAGTCGTCACAACTTTAGTTGGGGGGCACCCTGGAGGGAGCGATCCCTGGAACATTTCGACCGTCAATCATGCGCAAAGTGACAGAGATGTGACACCAGGGGCGTATTACACACAACAAGCAGGCACATGCATGCATGCGGACACGCAACCTAACGGATATGTGTGTATCTTTACGTTGCTCAAGTGCTGTTGCTGCTGCTTAGTAACTCCTTAGCACAGCCTGAGAGCACGCATCGTGTTATAATTTTTTTCTCTTGAAATTAATGTCATTGGAAAATTGTGAGGAACACGCAGGCGTTTACGCCCCCGCTGCGTCAAATGTTGTTGTTGTTGGTGTGTTGTGACATTGTTGCCGCTGTTGTTGGCTATTGTCTGTCGACTGTTTTGTTTTACGATAATATTTATGGCTTCCTTCTGTCATTTTCATAATGTTGCGTTTGACACTTTCCCTTTGGCGCTCAACAATATTATCTTACATTAGATGGGCGGTCGAGCTGTCAGGCGATCGGGCATGTTTTGTAAAGATTTCGAATGACATGTGTAGGTGAGACAGTCAGTCGGCCTGTCAACAGAAGCACTTGGCAAAGCCATTTCTTTCAGTTGTTCCCCACAAAAGTCGGCATACTTGTATGTATGGTTATTTCTCATTTAAGTGCTGATGTGTCAATAGTTTTATTGCCATTCGATTCTTAATGTAGATTGGAAATCAGCCATCTCTTCTTAAAAAGAATATTGTTGCTGCATCGTTTCATTTTCCATTAATTATACCATTTATTAATCAGCAAGTAAATAGAATTTTTTTCATATCTGAACTTCTTAATACACAAATTGTGTTAGATTATTCGTATTTTTGAAATATTAATACATATTTTGAACGTATATTTGTTTTATTTAATAGTTGTGGATGGGCGGGCCATAATGCTCGATAATACGATAATTATATATCAAGACCTAGCTATGGGTACAATTTTAGATTTAGGAAAAGCAGGATTTACATTCGGGACAGGCTGAGCTCAGGGAAATTCCAAAACTGCAGTAGCAGTAACACTAAGCTGTCCCTTCAGAAAGCGAGATATGATCTGGCTAGTCTTTTTGCTTAACTATTTTATTTAATATTTCATTCACTTCATTTATTCATGTTTAATCAAACCATGAGAATCTCCTTTAACTAATTTTTTTTAAAAACATACAGTTTTTAAATAAACTACTTTAACTTGAAAATTTGCACGTCTTAATATAAAAAAAAATCTAAACACAAGTAAAATATTAATATTAAATAGAGAATTGTAAGTAAAGGACTGTTTCCCTTTTGAGGAAGAACAGTTGTCTTTGGATTTATTTATTTAATTGAAGGTACTTCTATATCTAATTATTCAAAGGTCAAACTGGAATTCATACTCTTACTGTGTTCTTCATACTTTGTAGAAGCAATTCTCCCAGATTTCAAGACTTAACAACGTTCATCAAGAGCTTATATTAAACAGATGGCTGATGACTGTTATCTCATTATTCATAGTACATCCCACCCGGACCCAATGCAGCCCATATGCATATTTGTCTGCTCATAAATTATAGCAAGGAAACAAGGAATAAATGCGATATAGTATAGTAAGTAGATGCGAAAAAATGCCAGCAACAACAGAAATGAACATAATAAGTCGCCACTGTCGCTGCCGTCCGTTAATTTATGGGCCGGTGGGGCCTTCAGCCAAAGCCGAGGCATAAATACTTCAGCTGTGATTATTATTGGCCACCTACAGTGTCTGCCATCATATATAAACGTATCTGTATATAAGTATCTGTAGCTGTAGCTATTGCTGTATCTATATCTGTCTGCTTGTCTGTCTGTCTGTCTGTTTGTATCTACGGCAAATACCTTGGCCATGTCTGCCGGCAAATTCGTGTGTTCGCGCACTTCAAAGTGATTGCCGCCACATTTTGGAGTTGCGTTTTGTCCGCTGACAGGCAAATCTCGTAACGGCTATGGCGCTAATATATTATTGATACGAGTCGATATATCAGTGATATATGCTTGCGTCGCTGGTCAGTCGTAAATTTCATTTTCGTTTGATTTCTTTGTCGCATTATAAATATTCAAATAAAGTAGCTTAGTAGCGGCGATCGGATTGAGTCGCGCCCCAAAATGAATAAGAAATCAGAAAAGATGAAGAAAACACTCTCGATTTTTATTATGCATGATTTGCATTAATGTAAGGCAGTAACAACAACAACAACACAGTGCTTCTGCACTCATCATCACTTAAAAAAAAATCAGGTCAACTGACTATGTCAGCATTATACAATCAGCAGCAATGTTGACAGCAACAAACACAAACACACAGACATACAGACATACTCGTACAAACAAACAGTTGACAGCCGACATCGGAAATCAACGAAAAGCCATTAATGTTTTTTAATATATTTGCCTTCATAATTTTTAATTAATAATGTCAAAATGTCAGATTAAAAATATTTCATGCTTACACACAGTTCTTGTTGTTGCTGCTGCTGCTGCAGCTGATTGTTGTTGCTGTTCTTGTTATTATTGTAGTTGTTGTTGCTGTTGGTGTAGCTGTTGCCTTTGTAACGCCCTCAGTGCCGACACGATAGTCACTAAGTAAGGTTTGAGGGACTTGTACGTTAATCTGCATATTTCGGATGCAAACACGAAATTCGATGCAAACTTGAATGAAAATCTTTAAAAAACTTTTCGCTTCTTCTGTTTTAAATAATGTTTGTCTATTTATAAATTATTTATTTGAAGTACAAATAGATATTAGCAGAATGTTGTTTATAAACCTTTAATTATTTGCGGTTCGTAGGACTGTTCTTGGACTAGTTTTTCTCCAGTTGGACAGAGGACCTCTTCAAGATCGACTTAGTTTTTCAGTTTCTGAAATTTTTACCATTCATCAACTACGCATGGCACAATCCTTTTCAGGTTATATATATGTTCTAATTAGAGTGATCTCTCTATAATGAACTCTCTCCCTATTCTATAAAAACTGTTCTCTATAGTAATCTTCAGGGAGATCTCTGAACACTTACGGTTGTGAGTCAGTCGGGGCAATTAAATTATCCCCCATGGGGTTGAAGATTTTGCTTTCTTCCTTTTTGTTCCTTAGGTTATTAGTTATTAGTTCATAATTATAATTAAGTTTTATACTCTAAGTACTTACTATTTCTTTAGTTTTTCAGGCGACAATAACGCCTACTCATTGTACATTAATTTTTTATGCTTTCTTATCTTTCAAATTGAAATTATATAAATTATATTATAAATATATAATTATATTATGTATTAATATTCTATATACAACTTTTGAAAGCGTTGTTTGCAGCGATTGGAACTTAAAGCACTGCCGTTTTAATTGAAATAATATTTTATTTATTGTAAACACTCTACATCGACATTCTAAATTATAAGTTTTCGTTATTATGTTTGTTCTTATAAGAACATTTTCTTTAAACAAAGAGCTCTAAAGATTATATTATACATTCGAGTGAAGTTTCAAACTATAGAAAGTCAAATACACTTACATTTCAAACTGCAGTTTGGAAATAAATTAGATTGTATTGACAGACACTGCCTTCTAGTGTACCTACAGATCGGCAGTACGTTTGTATTGCAGATATCGCTAAATATGGCTCTTAAAGATGTGCTTGACCTGCACCTCATGTTGCTGTGAAGGTGGCGGCAACTGACACAGCGGTGGCAACAACGAAAAGTTGGCCACTCTGCCCCCATTATTAAGCCAATTCAGCAGCCACATGCGACAGATAAATAAATAAAATTTGAAACATCGCCGCAACAATAAAAAGCGACAGTTCACGATTTATTAAACGAGTCAGCTTCGGCCCAAATGAAGAGGCAACCAAAGAGGCAACAGCAAGAGCAACAACAAACAGGCAAGGCAACGGCAGCAGCGGCAGCGGCAGCAGCTGCCACCGTTGTTGTCGACATTACTCTTTTTGGCGTGGCAGATACACACACACACACACACACACCCATACACACACCAGCAGATACAGATACATTTCTATATAGAAAATATATACAATACTTGAGGCCAAAATGACTAATGACCAGCGATTATCAAGCGATAAAAGGCAAGGGAGCAGCCGC